AATATGATTGGTGAATCATAAGGAGACAAAGATGGATCGATTGCTGAAGTCTCATCAACCGATGGAATAACAGGTGTCAAATCAGGAATGGGTTGCAGAAATCCACTAATAAGCACATCTGCTCCTATCTGAAATTTTTACCGAGTTCATCACAACATAGAAATCATCAATGAAACTACATTGTTATTTTATATTATATAGAGTTATAGACCTGCTCATAAGAAACATCAATTAGTTCCAAAGCCTGTGTCATTTCAACCATCCCAAGTTCCCCAACTGGGGAAGGCGCATTCCTTCCACCAATTATCTTAGGGGCAACAAAAGCATGCACCTGAATTAAACAAACCATATACCCAATTATAGAATTCTACTTTCAAACAAAAAAGAAAGATAACCAAAATTATAATTCATAAACCTTGTGTATGACACCAGAGGAAATAGCTGATGCCGATAATGTCCCTCCACATTCCCATAAGATTGAAAGATACCCACGATCATAAAGATAGTCCACAACATCTTTAGGGTTCAAGATGTCAAATTCCACCACTTCAACACCTTTAGAAGCAAGAAGTTTCTGGAAGCTTCTTCTTGCGCCTCTCTGAGTGACAACTATTGTGGGCACTTCTCTAACATCCCAAAGATTTGCAACCTCGGGAAGATCAAGAGTTTGGGACATAACGATTCGCATAGGTAAATGCCCACCACCATGTCTTGGAGTTAAACGTGGATCTATATTTCAAAATGTAGTAAGAAACTGACAAGGGTACTTCAAGAATCTGCAGAAATTATAAGTGGCTGACAATAAAGTTTCATACTATCTTTGCGTACAGTATTTCCTCCAACAATGACTGCATCGCTTCTACCACGTAACTCAAAAACTCGTGATCTTGATTTTTTGCTGCTTATCCATGACGCATGTCCGCTGCTAGCAGCAATTTTTCCTATCAGAAAATGAGGATCAAATGGTGCAAATGCAGCACTTTTTGAAGAAGATGATACTCACCATCAAGGGTCATTGCATACTTGAGAACAGAGAATGGGACTCGAGAAGCTGATCTATATAGCAAAGGGGCATTGACAAGGAGACACGATTTCAGAGCATCCTACAAAAATGCAACACATTAGAAGGGAAAGAGCATCCATAGCATGCCATATAACCATGGCAGAAAGAGAGCTAAGTTCAGAGAGAATAGTAACACAATAATATGATACCTCCATGGAGACACTTCTTAAATCCTCCCCAAGAACATCAACCTGCAATCCTTCACTTCTCAATGCCTGAATAGCTTTTCCCCGTAGATGTTGCAATGGATGCCTGATCCCGATTACAACTCTGGTGATCCCTGCCTAAGGATTATTAAGCCTCAAATGCATGTCAATTTGAAGTAATACTTCGCATTAAAAGTTGTATATGATGATAGCAGAAAGAAAAGGAAGATGGATTGGCATAGTTGTACCCAATAAAAAGCATTAAAGCAATCAAACAAACTTCTATCAACTTCAAATTTTATGATGAAAGCGAGTGCAAAAACCTGAATAAAAGCAGATAGAGCGGTGTTATCGCCGTCGCAGTCTCCGGGTTCCATATTGAGATAAGCAGTGGCGCCTCTGCAATACTCTCCAGCGGCCTCCACCGCCTGAACCTCCGCTGGCTTCGTCCCTTGCGCGTAAAGATATCCTTCTCCGACAACATTCCTCAAGCTGCTGGTTGTTGCTATCACGCAACCGAAGTTAGGATGCGGCGAGGTGAAACCGGCTGACTTGTCAGATAACTCGGCGGCGCGTTTCACATACGATGAATCAAGCGCATGATAGTGATCGCTGTTATTGATGATAGAGCTGGCCTTGAACTTGATTGGGGTAGCAAACCCCATTGCCATCGCCATCGCAGATCAGAGATAGCGAGTTCTTGTGGCGGTCAGAGGGATTAGCTCATTAGCCCAGCCATTCGTCCTAACAGGGTTTATGCTTTTGAACCAAAATGGTCCTCAAACTATTTAATATTTGTTTATAAGGCACTCCTGTTTTATATTTTGCAACTATCAGGCCTTAAATGATCTTCAATTCCACATTTCCAATTTTCCATTAGTTACTAGCATCCACGATAAGAAAATATATTTATTAAAATTTTCCATCAATTTATAATTATATTGTTTTGATTGTATTTTGTATACATTGACAATCAATAATTGGTTGTAATTTTATGAGACCGGTCAATATTATAATGATATCAATACTATAACGATAGAAAAAATTACAACCAATAATTTGTAAATTTTGCATAGTTTTTTTCGAAATGAAGATTTTGAAAAAGCTCATGGAAGCACTAACACCTTAGAAGTGTTAGTATATGAAATCGGAGAATGAATAAAATCCACTTAGTGGGTGTTTGGTAAACTTTTCAAAACAGTTTATTAGTTTTTTAGTTTTTCAAAAAGCTAATAAGCTAACAAAGTGTTTGTGTATTTAAAAAGCACTTTTTAAAACAATTCTTTGGATGAAAAAAATAAAGTTTTCAAAAAACTGGAAAATCTTAACTTTTTAGTTTTTTAACTATTTTACTCCTGAAAAACAGCTTTTTTTATCCAAACACTTTTTTAAAAATAGTTTTTCCTAAAAGCAATAAGCTAATAAACATTTTTCTTAAAAATGCTTTTACCATAAAAAAAAAACTAATCCAAACACACTCTTAATTGAATATAAAGAAGCCATTTGCCCTGTTTTATTCTATCACGAAGTGGAATGCTTACGTATAATATGATAAATATGATATGGTTTTATTTATGAACTTTTTGCCTATATAAAGCTTAAGAATTACATCAATTTAGTTAACTTGTATTTGTTTTCCAAAATAATTGAACTAAGTTATTTGTTATATTGTTACATGGGTTTTGATGATGTTTTATTCTGATTAACTTTTATTTTTGCAAATATAATATGATTATAAATTAATAATATGATTATAAATTAATAATACAGTAAATTGTATTTAACATGTTGTATCTTATTATGATACCAACCTTTTGCAAATATAACATGTTGTATCTTGTTATGATACCAACTTTTTTTTTTCAATTTTATAATTTATTTTTTATTTTTTTTAAAATTGAGACAAATATTTTTTAATATAAAAAATAAATAAAACATAATGTTTAAAAATTATAAAAAACAATTAAAAAAATTTTAAAGATTAAAATTAACATAAAGATTAAATTACACATAATATCCAAAAACAAAAAAAAAAAAATAACATCCAAATTCAAAAAAAAAAAAATACAACGCTATTTGTTATCGTTATTGTTATCATAGAAGATATAACCCGCCAAGTCCTCTCAAAGTTGTCTGTGTTTATTTGTGTCCTGAATGTCAACAACGCGATGCAAATAATATGTTAGCTCCTGGTTGAAACTAAACGTGTCTGGGCTCCGTTGAAATATAGTGTGCAATATTTCGCCATTTATCTTCTACTATCATGTTATGCATTATGATACATGCATACATGATATATCGTAAAGTTTCTAAATCCAATGGTCGTGTTGCATGTTCGACTATATGTCACTTCGCCTTCAGCACTCCAAAAGCGCGTTCTACATCCTTACATGCTCCTTCTTGTCTTCTCTTAAAAAATTTGTCTCGTTCTTCAACCGGGTGGCGGAATGCCTTCACGAATGTGGAATACTGAGGATATATTTCATCTGTAAGGTAATACCTATATTTGTATTCGTTTCCATTCACCATGAAAGGAGCATCCGGAACTTTTCCATTCAAAAGATCGTCGAATATTGGTGACTGATCAAGAACGTTGACGTCGTTGTTGGAACCCGCAACCCCAAAAAATGCATGTCAAATCCATAAATCTTGAGAAGCGACAGCCTCTAACACCAACGAAGGTAATCCGTGATGACCACTTGCGTATTGTCATTTCCATGCTACCGGATAATTTTTCCATTTCCAATGCGTGCAACCAATGCTTCCGATCATTTCGGGAAACCCATGACGTTCTTCATGCGCCGCATACAATTCTTGCAAATAGTGCAACGAAAGTTTCCGCAAATTCACGTCTCCAAAAGTTTCAACAACACCCCTTGACAATGTATACAAACTCTCTCTTGCGGTTCTTTTCGGACATTCTCATATAGTCGTCCATGGTGTCGGGTGACTCCCACATAGCCATCAAACGAATGGCCGCAGAACATTTCTGCAACGTTGTAAACCCCCGTCTACCTCTAGCATCATATCTTAATTGAAAAAATTCGTACCTAAACATAAATTAACTACAGTTTAAAAATATATTGCATATATTGTAAAATTAAAGAAATATGTAATACATTTTTATTTATTTTGTATAAAAATATAGTAAACAAACGATACCGGCTTTCCAAGGCGTTGGCGATTCGTAAGAACACATCCCTACTCAAACGAAATCTTCTTTTGAAGTCCTTCGCTTCGTATACACAATTATCCGCAAAGTAATCGCGATATAGATGTTCGTGTCCTTCCTCGCGATTTCTGTTTAACATCGCACGTCTTGTTAGTAGTGGGGCTGAGTCTGGTTGTAGCAGATCGGTAGTGTAATAATGATATATCATCCTAAAGAAAATATTGTCATCTAAATCATCGGACGAGTCGAAATGATCCATATTTTTGTTGAAGATAATTGAAAGTATGTAGGGAGAAGTGAAAGTGTGTGAAATTTTTTATAAAATGGGAGGTATTTATAGGATAAATTATTTTTTTTTAATAATTAATTTTTTTTTTCAAACCGTTGCAAATTAAAGACTCAAACGGTCACAATTCATCCGTTTCTTCCCGTCGCCACGCCAACGAGATCCACCTTCGACGAGTTGCACTGAGCAGGGGGGTGGTGTTCCCCCCGTTACGCAGCCGTCGCCAAGCGCCACGTCAGCCTCGTTGGTGTTTCTCGTTTGGTCCATACTGATTGCTCTTAAAGTTGTGCGATGAACATGCTCATAGAGTTTAATGGTCATTAAACTTTTTAACAGGAAAAGAAACTTGTTAATCCGTAAATAAATGTCATAAATTAGATTTTATAATAAATTATTTTTCTAAATATACACATTATGGGAAGAAAGTAATAGAATTGAAAGAAATCAAAAGTTTAATATATTGTAGATGATGCCTGGATGACTTATATCATTATCTTATTCTGCTACCTTGGAATTTCATTCATTTACCATTCCACTTCTTTCAATTTGAGCAGTTTCTTAATCTTCACAAAGATACTGTCATAACATTATAAACCACATAATTTTCATTTAACTTTAATTAAATTAACAAAAATGAATTATTAAATTAACAAAAATAATTTACTTTTTTCTAGAACACCTAAACTCACACATCACCTATTCTACTCCGTTACTCCAAAATGTACACCTTTCCTCAAAAGCAGCACTTGAACCCTCAACCCATTTGCCCATGACACGTATTCATTCAGTCAGCTCTCAATTTCAGTATCTCCTTCGCAGTCCTTAACCTAAAATACGGCATGTTTTCCTACATAAAACCAATAAATTCAAATTCCCATTTTAACATCTGAAATCATCACACCTTATCCCCATAAGAACTCACCTGTTTGAAACAAAGCCCAATGTCCCTGCTATAAAAGTCTGCATATTTAATCATAAACACACCACAATCAAACCTGCCATTAAAAAAAAAAAAAAAACATAATCAATTATATGATAAAACTTTAACATTCGAAAAATCCTTCAAATAATCATTTAGTAAAAACTTTGAAACACACACCCATTCTTCTGTATAGGAAGATCCTTCACATATTCTTGCTTCCACGAAGACACATCAATGTCTTCCCCATTCTTATCTTTCACCTCATCAACAATGTACTTGGCCTAAAGAATAGGAGAAATAAATAAAACAAAAAATTTCATGTTGTTAATGAAAAATTAAAACCACTATGATGTATGAAGTATGATCACGCCAAACATACCAATACTCCCATTACTTGTTTGTCAATGCCTCCAAGTGAGTCTAGATACTGGAATTTTTCTTCTTTTTTATTGATAACAGCCAAACACCAATGTATTTCTTTATGAACAGGGATAAATATCTGTTGAAAAAAACTATGCTCAAAATATATAAAACAATAACAGCATTGTAATTAGAAAATAGTCAAAATACAAAGAAAGTAATAAACTTTACTTTGTCACAATCAAGAAGACTGTATCCCAACTTCCTTTGGGTAGTCCATCTTCTAACTGACTTGTAATCATAGCCGAGCTTTCCACTTATCAACTATATAAATAAATTAGCAACAAAATTATAAAATAACAATAATCATGGAATATACCTTAATAAGAAAAGGTTTATGGAGATGAGATTGAGATTGAGATTGAGATTGACTAACCTTCTTGTAGAAAAACGTGTTGAAGAAATGACATTTTAGAAACTTTTCTGGTTCCTTCTGTTCCCTCTCTTTCAGCAACTCAAGATAAACATTAATAACCTATAACATGAAAATTTTCAAACCACTAAAGAATTTGCTTAAAAACAAGTTATATTGCTCCAAAAAATCACGTTAAAAATCAAAAATTACCTCATCGTTTAACCATTGGCAAGGTTTTAAACACCGTAAAACTTCTCCGGTGATTGTAATATTTGAATTCTCATGAGTAACCAAAACCTTCCTTCTACAGATTTTGAGCACCATTTTACACCAAATCAGATAGCACAAGACACTTAAAGAAGCCATTCATATACAGGCATATTATAGTGTTTAATATGTATAGATAATCAATCAAATCATACCGACTAGAATTAGACAATGCATCAGCAACCATTTCCTCTTCATCGTCTGTAAGAGGCTGAAAAGGCTCAATTAGTGTGTCCTGAAAAGAGAAATCAATTTAACATGAGATACAAATCATTGATATAAGTTACATTTCCCAATAGACATGAGACATAAACAGTTCACCTCCTCTTTCTTCACAGGATGCAACTGCTTATACAAAGCTCTCTTTTGTTCCTGTAGTTTGATATCATAGCTCAACCTCCTAAGATTTGAGTCGTGTTTTTTGGCTGAATCTTCTAATAGCTTTTTATGGTAAGGCAAACTTGCATCTACATCCGAATCATTTGGCCTCTGGTTGAGTAATAATGATTCTAATCTCTTCCAATCTGTTAAACCTGCATCTACATCCGAATCATCTGGCCTTTGGTTCAGTGATAATGATTCTAAATTCTTCCCATCTGTCAACTGTGAAACCACTCCTGAAGAAGTAGAAGGCTGAAAGCCAAGATTTTCTCCAGCCTCTCCATCTAATTCCCTAAATTTAGCTATGATATCTTGTAGATCCCCTGATTTGTCAATGTCTTCTCTCTCACCTTCCACCATTGCAACCTCCTCAACATCTGAATCCCGTGAAGCAGCTTCTTCCTCACTGACATTCTGTATACTGTCGACATCTATCTCATCCTCAGTTTCAGACTTAACATGCGTATGACTGCCGAAAATTGCTTCCTTCACTCTTTCACACGTCGCACGGAAAAAATTCCTCATCCGGTCCACAAAATTATCTGGTTGTTGTGTATTATATCCACTAGAAGTACTATCTAATCTTTTCGAGTTTGCATTAAATCCCTTAACAACTATACAAGGAGCATGAAGTTCTCTAGGAATCTGGGTCACCGGTTGCGGATATCGACTAAGCCTTAAAACCGAACTCTCCTTTGCGGCAACCGAAGTCGAATACCAAGATGATGGCTTGTGCTTCTTCGAGATGTGAGGGTGACAATAGGCATAACAAGAAGTAGATTGTGATGAAGATTGAAATTCTCCGACACGTTTGTTGCGGTTACACGTCAAAGGACCCATTTTCGATTGAGAAAGCAATCTAGGGTTTCGCGAAAAAACTTAAGAGAGAAATCTACGAGTCGACCGGATATTGGCATGCGACCAGAGAAATTCTTTGAGCATTAAATCCCTAAATTGAAAGAGGGATTATCTCCGAAGCTTTTGATCGGTTGTCTTCGCAGATTTGACTGGGAGGAAAACGGCTGGCTTTGAAGAACAGATTGAACGAAGATTTTAGCCGAGTCTGATAGCAGATCTGATTGGGGTTTTGACAGAAGCATCAGTTTTGAAAGTGTAAAGAGGTTTTTGGAAGATAGTGTACTGAATCAAAAATAGACCAGAGATTGTTTTTTTTATTTTTTTATCATTTCATAGGTGCATATGCAATTATGCATTGCAATTTAGCAATGACATTTTTAACCAATTCAATTTATTCTGCATAATTTTACCGTATTTAAATATAGAGTCTTAAACTAAATTATAATCTCGTTAACATGACATTACTGAATTCATAGGTTTAATAGAAAAGTTATGTACTATAATTGGCATCGTATATTCTCCATGTTGAGAATAAAATTGTACCACAACCACCTACATACATCTTTACATTTTAAAACATATTTTATTAATATCAACTAGTTAAGTCGTTCGAATTAGGAATAATGACTTGAAAGGGTAACGAACTTTCGATTTTTGTCACATTTAATCACTAAACTTTTTTTCGTTATCTATTTACCATTGAACTATTGAAACTGTTCACATTTTATCTTTACGACCGGCTGTTACCGGTCATAAGGGTAAAATGTGATAGTTTCAATAGTTTAGTAGCAAATAGATAATGAAAAAAAAGTTTAGTGACTAAATGTGAACAAAATCGAAAGTTCATTTCCCTCTAAAAAGTTCAATGACTAAATGTGAACAAACTTCCTATTGTATTATGTTTTAGCAAAATTATTTATTTTTGTTTAATTGTAGCAACATTTGTTGATGAAGAAATCTATGAAATAAAAAAACAAATGTAACATCCGGATTTTCAGGTATCATCATTTAAGTATTTTTCTTTTGAGTTAAGAAGAGAGACTCGACAGGTTGACGCCTCAACTCGTCGAGTAAGGTCGCGACTGATGACTCGGATTAATGAATGGACTCGACGAGTCCGCGCTGTTGGCAGAAACCCTAAATCTTTGGGCTCGAGCCATATTTAAAGGCACTTATGGCCTTCAATTGCGACTACCTTTCCCATAAGTGATAACCCTAGCGAGCTTGAGTGTGTAGAGTGAGAGGAAGAGCTATCTTGAGCTTTTTGGTGTGATAGATCTGGACCCTTCTAGGTTCAGAGAGTCGAGAATATGAAGCTTTAGTAGAGTAAACCTTGGGGTTCAAAGTTAGGAAGCATTTATGGTATATATATAGTTACTTTCATCTTATACATAGATATGAAGTATTTTATATAAATTACGTGCTATGTGTGCATATTATTTGAATACTTGTTGTCTATGCTTGATGAACGATTTTATACATGTTTTAGAAGATTTAAACGGTATATTTATTTTATATCTACAAATATGTTGCGGATGAAACATGGGTAGATGAAATAGTTGGTGTTTGATAAAATAAAATGATGAGAGATAGGTGATGATAGAAAGGTGGTGATAATTAGGTAAATAGATGATGATGAATATGTGATGTAGGATGAAAGGAGATACCATAACCTTCACCAGCAATGTGGCGATGTAGTCATCTACCAGAGTATAGATGGCGACCACGGACTATTCTAGACAACCCAGTGGAAACACCAGCAGACCCATAACCTGTAGGTGATGAATTACGAGTTCAGGCGATGTTGTAACTACGTATTCATGTGATGATACTCTAACCCCTTACTATGAATTACGATTTCAAACGATGTTGTAACTACATATTCATGGGATGTCACAAATTTCGCATGTCAAACCAATGGTCATAATTCACATCAGTGAGAATGGTTCATTTTTTTGTAAAACCAAAATCAGATTGGAAATTTTGATTGTTTATTTTGGAAAATGTCAAACCATTGGTTTTTTATTTCGGTTTGGTTTTTTGTTTTTTTTTTAAATATATTTTCAATGTTTTGTTTTGTTTTTTTTAATAGATTTCTTCATCAACAAATGTTGCTACAATTTAACAAAAATAAATAATTTGCTAAAACATAATACAATAGGAGGTTTGTTCACATTTAGTCATTGAACTTTTTAGAGGGAAACGAACTTTTGATTTTGTTCATATTTAATCACTAAACTTTTTTTCGTTATCTGTTTGTCATTGACCTATTGAAACTGTTCACATTTTACCCTTATGACCAGTAACAGCCGGTCATAAAGGTAAAATGTGAACAGTTTCAATAGTTCAATGGCAAATAGATAACGAAAAAAAGTTTAGTGACTAAATGTGACAAAAATCGAAAGTTTGTTACCCTTTCAAGTCATTATCCCTTCGAATTATAAAGGTGATTAAACAAGCTTTATGGAACTTACGATAGTTTCAACCAACACCATTGGGGGATCGTTATTGTAGTTTACATTGGGTACTCGTTTATTGTAATTTAAAGCTTTAAATTTTCAATAATTATAAGTTTATTCACTAACCTTATTGGTGAAGGATGTTAAAATGTTTGTATAATGAATCGTCTTTATGTATATTGCTAGAAATGGATCAAGTCTTAACAATGTGTAAAATGGGAACAAATATTTGAATTATGTCAAATATTACCTAATGGGCAAGTTTATGAGAAATCTAGGTCTATGATGAAAACTTTATGCTTAAAATTATGTTTATGTAAGAAATGGTAAAATTGACAATGCATGTTTTCATTATGTAAGAAAGTGGGATAAAATAGAAAAAAAAATCACCAAATTATAGTATAAAGTAAACAAATAATATAAGGTTTACTTAGCCTACATACAAATATAATAGGTATGTTAGAACCATGAAGTCCTAAAAGAAAGCACCAAAATGGTTACAAGCAAGAATCCGAAAAAAAAAAAAAAAAAAAAAAAAAAAAGGTAAGGTATGAATCCTACGAATTATATTATGGCATAAATGACATTAGGACATGTTAACAATCAATTAGAAGTAAAATGGTCTAAAAAGTTCTTGGACATTAATACCCAGAAAAAAAAAAAAGTAGGTCGTTATAATTGATAAAAGGAACAAACTAGATTGCTATAAAGTGCAATCATTGGATAAACAAAGATATAGTTGAAGTAAACATAGAAATGAAAACACAAAACCAATGCTCTTATACTTGTATTCGATTTCTAGAGTATAGTGCTTGGGTTTTAATAGTAAAGGTCAGTTCTTGTATATAAAATTAGTAGTTTAATGATCCTAATGTGCAACCACGACAAAAAAATGAAGAATTGGCAAAAAGAATCAACTCATTTGAATTTATAATGAGGATGTTATGTACAAAACAAGTATGCTTAAGGTCCTAATCGGTCCACGCAACATACAATGCACACCTTTCATTTGCATGCCAAATAACATTGATTAATGACTCATTATATTCCAGCAAAGTAGCCAAATTGTCATGGAACAATCCATTCCATTTCTTTGTTATACCATTCCATCAAACCAAAGTCCAACAATATAGTACCCGAGGACATATCCACCTCCCATACGTAACATTATACAAATGCACTCAAAAGTGCATTCAAGGGAACCAAAGTCCAAGCTTTTTTAATAAGCCTGTAAATATGAATTTGGATTCATTCCTACACCGATAACAACCCCACAAAAGTATAATATCAAAATAAAACAAACCACCTATACGTCTCATCTATCATTGTTTTTAACACTGCAGAAAGATAACAAGTAAACCAACATATAAATTCTTATGTTGTGCAAATGGTTGAATGACATTTTAATGTCTAAACTCATAAAATGACGAATAAGCCCATAAGCAAAATGACACCTAATAACCATAGTTCATAAACAACAGAAAACAATGCCTACCCGGAACCCTCGGGCACCAAATTTGGGCCAAATGGACCCAAAATAATGGCGTTTACATATCTACACCACGCCCACGCCCACGCCCACGCCGCCTCCTTGGCCCACCTAAAACCAACCTTCCCTGGCGGCAGGCAATCCGAGGAATGTAATTACAAACACGCCTAGTGGCGGCACCACCACCATCATCGCCGTCATCATCATCCACTGACCGACGACCCCTCTCCAATATCGCATAGCTGCCCGGGGCAGTTCTTGATCCTAACCGGAAAAGTACATTGTCGAGATAATTATCCATCTCCATGTCTCTAGAAAACTCCCGAAAATTCCCTTCAATCACATAATCCACCATTACAATCGACTCGGGCATTGTCGAGCTAATTGTACTCATCACATCGTTTAACTCCGTATCATTTTCAAGCGTTTTCCATTTTTCAGCGAGTGACGGGTCAACTTCTCGCGGGCGGGCCAACGGGTGATCCTCCCGTACATGCTTTCTCAAATCTCTGTATGACCTAACAAACGAACAGTTGTCTTGCATGCAGCTTCTCTTTTTAGAATTGAGAAACTTGCGTGCTCGCTCCACCACGGTCCACCCTTTCACCTGACCGCAACAGAGCGGGCACATAAGCCCACAGACAAACGGGTCAACATTTGACCCGTCTGACGACTCTGGGCCTTCCTTCTCTTTCGAGTAGGCTTTTTTGTATAGGTCTAAACAATTGGAATACCGATAACTAGTTGCACACATGTAAGGGCGACACCCCTTGTGATGTGAGGAGCAAAGGAAGAGAACAGCATTGTGAGGATACTACATACAAACCGAACATCTTGCATCTTTATAATCTTTCTTCTCGGATTCCTTTTTTTGTTTCTTGTTGTGGGCATCTTTCATGATCTTTGATTGAAATGATCGTAAGGAATATGGGGTTGCCTTATGATGCTTTGATCCGGATCTTTGTGGTACCTTCTTCATTTTAGTCATTGCAAATCAAACCTAGTATACATAAAGAAACCATGGTAAGGATGTTTTACAGTTTACAGAACTTTCACAACTATTATTCTATCTTTTAATTTGATTGACCTTTGTTCATTCTTAGTGGTTGGTTGCTTATAAAAGTCTTCAATTTCTCTATGGATCTTTAAGTTAGATTCATGCATGTGCCAGTTTGCCGCATGTTATGACTATTATTGTTGGAACAAATGGAAAGGCAACTGCCAACTAGTTCCGCTTTTACCGAACTTACCCTACACAAGATAGATTATGCCTAAAATGGTACAGGACACAATATGGAGTTCAGATACGAAGTAATCTACAGAGTCGTGTCTCGATCATCCTCGCTTGTAAATCACACTTAATGCTTAAGATAATTTGTCATTCAACAAAAGTTTATCATTTCAACGAATCTAAATGCACACTTACACAAAACTACAGATCCAAAGAATGACAAGGCCATACAAATCATTACACAAAACACATATCAAAACACAAATCGCCCATGCAAGTAGACAGGGAAAACTCTTTTAGAATTAGGGTTTGAAATACATGAAAAGCCCCAAATAGCCCCTGCATATAAGCATCAAAAAGTAATTTTGTATATCATTAATCTGCGCAATGCATGATTTGAAGTTCTATACGTGGAATTAAAAGATATGTATTTTTTCCAAAATGAAAAATAGCATCTCATTTCCTAGAAAAATATAGTTTGAAAAGAATCGGCATCTATAATCTTATCGGGATGAGAGCGATACCAAGATCGACTAGGTTGAGGGACAGAGCCGCCGTAGCCGGTGTATGGGTGGGTGGAGAGTGGAGACGGAAGAAACTGTCGTGCTCAGTCGCGTATGAGTTATGAGTTTATGACTTTGGCCTGCGACATCGGGAGTTAATAAAAGGTTGCAGAGAGATTTGAAAGTTCGTTCAATCTGACACCAATGTTTTTGATTTTACACAAAGGATCCCAATAAATTATGTTTCATCCAATGTGAGCCACCATGTTAGTTTTCCGATTCTTAAATTACAACGTTGTTTGGGATTGAGTTTGAAGATTCTTAAATTACTAACCGGTTTTTGAGATTGAGTTTGAAAAATGTTTATTGATTTATGGATTGTTTTTCTGAATGGTGTAAAGGTCTTGAATGAAATTGTGTACGAATGAAAGTATTTTTTTTTTTGTTAGACATCTAAATAATTGAGTTGATTTGATACTTCTAAAATATGTTCTATTGAATTAAATGTGAATGTTTTATAATATCTGAACTAAATATACAAACAACATCCAAGTTAAACATAAATATTTTCAAAATTTTAATTCAACAATAATATTTTAAAATCTATAATAACATATTAAAATACAAATAAAATCTTACAAGTGTATTAATTTGAAACAGTTGAAAATAATTTATTTGCAATATGGGGGCAGGGAGTGGGTAACGGGTCGTTATCGGGTAACCCGAAACCCGATCATTTCGGGTCGGGTAACGGGTCGTTATCGGGTTTTTTATCGGGTTCGGGGCAGGGAGTGGGTTATCCTCGCCCCGCCCCGCCCCGCCCCGATTATATATATATATATATATATATATATATATATATATATATATATATATATATATATATATATATGTTCAAAAAATTTTGTTGTTAATTGTATACGTTCAAATATAAAATACTTATCGTGGACAATTTTTTTAGTTATTAACAATATGGTGTTAATGATCATTTTGATGTGTTTCAACGTATTAAACAAAACTTAAATCAAATAATTTTTTATGTAACGTCCAATTTATTTTATTAAAGTGATGCATCATGTTTTTAATTTAAAATAATTGCTAGAACATGTATATTTTATAAGACATTGGGGTACCCTAAAAGAGAATAAAAATTTCGTTATCAGTTGTTGTAAACCCGATAAGATACCTGAAACTCGACGGGGAAACCCGAAACCCAATGGGGCGCCCCGATAAGATACCCGAAAGTTATCGGGGCGGGTTTGGGAATCCATGCCCCGCCCCGAACCCGCCCCATTGCCATTCCTAAATATGGTCACACAAATCAGTCATGTATTCATTGTCTTGTGATCCCCGATCAACATAGTGTATGTTTTGGTGATTACTCTCTCCCCTTTGTACTTCATCCATGATTGTAGTATTCTCTTTGAAATTGTAAATATTGTAATTTCTTATGAAACTATAAACTATGAAACAAACAATGATTATGTCTCTTTGCACTAGAAAAGTATAAGTATTAAGAATCTTGCATTGAAAACACCCATGAAACGCACTCGCTAATATTTTTCAGTTGTGTGTGAGCAGGATTGATTTTTTCTTCCTTAGTTGATGGACATCGTCGTCGATAATCAAATAATCAATATTTTGTGTGCAGTAGGAGGGCATAAATCCATGAGTCTTGATGTATGGAACATCATGAAGGTAATATTTATATGTAAACGTGAATGATAGAACTGTTGGAATATGACCGTATTTATAACAAACGTAATAGAAACAAATTAGAACTTTTAATCGCACCGTGGACCACAAGTTCATAAACTAATGTAATAAAACTAAAAACTTAAAGATATGAGAATGGTATACATTTTTTTTTTTTTTGTGTGAGTTAATTCCTTCATTCTTTCTTGAATGATTTATAACATAAACTAGAACTCCTATAATATGGAAGCACCCTAAGATAGATGATCTAGAAAGAATGGCAATAGTCTCTTTCTTCCTTGTAAAAAAACATAGTGAGGGGAGGAAGCCAGTGACTAGAAGAAACTGAGAAGTGAGAAAATAAGAGAGAATCTTGTTCGTTTCTATGCCTTGGGTCGGGAAAGGTTAATGTGTTACACATTATCCTCTTTAATTAGTACATATCATTACCAATGTATACCAAGTGAACTTATGATAGTCATACAAGTTGGTATCGAATATACTTGATATAATACAGATAGGTAAACAAGTTGGAAAAACATGTGGCATTGTACCATGTTCACCCTAAATACAAAATATTTCATTTTTCAAATAATAGAGTCTTAAGGTGTGGCAACTTGAAATTTTTTTGCTTTGAAAGCTCAGTTAGCTAACTCAACTAAGTGACAGACTCACTCCTGCTACCATTTAGCACAATTTAGAGTCTATTTGAGTGTTCTGAGCATACTACACTTAAGGAATAAGTGTTGGGATTTATCTCCTAAAGTCACAGTACAAGAGTCAAGCTCTAAACTCCAACATGTGGAGTTTACGGCCGCAAACAAGAGTTTACGGCCGTAAACTCAACCCTGGCCAAAAACTCCCCCTATAAGACTCAAACCCTTCATTTTTCTTTCATTTCTCACTTCCACCTCAAGAACACTTGAGTTGCTCTCAAATATCATCGACTTTTCATCCTAGATTCATCAAAAAACGTAAGTGTTCTTCCCTTGATTTGTTGATACATCTCATTATCTACAATCAATCCATGATTCCATCCATGAAATCATTCAATTTGCTACATCTTCAAGTTTCACCAAGAACACCAAGAACACACACTAGTGTTCTTGGCCAAAATCAACCATTTTAAGCTTTAATATCGTAAGTATCCCTTCATTATACTTCATATCTACTAGGAAGCCTTGAAATACATCATTTAAACATGCTTTCTCCATGGGGATCATGAGTTTACGGCCCAAGATCTCCCTTGGTCGTAAGCTCCATATTGATGCATGTTTGGACCTTAAACTCTTCCTAGAGTCCAAGCCCTTGACCTAGAACACTTCCTTGATGAAAAATGACCTTAAACCACTCTCATTACTAGATGCCCAATAGTTTGCAGCCGTAAACTCCTAGTTTGGTCGTAAACTCATCAAGAACCTTCCATTTAATGGGTCTTTCTCATCCTAGTGAAGAACAATGGTCCCCCAAGTTTCCCTAGCCTTCAATCACCCTCTTAAGCACCTTTTACCATGAGTTTACTGTTGTAAACTCCCTTGACATTAAACTCATGGCCGTAAACTCCTAATGGTGGCCATACACTCCTCTTAGTTCAATCACATGTGATTCAACACTTCATTCCAAGTGTTTCCTAGTCCCGTGAGGTGTTACCTTGTCTTTGGTTACCTCAAAACCCTATATTTATATCAATATATGTCATTTAGGACTTGTTAAGTCTCGGGAATTCATTCGTGGAGCTTCTCATCCTTACACGCGTATTCGTTTGATTCACCCACATCAGGTGAGTTCATACCCCGTAATCAATCTTTTAAACTGTTTTAAATGCTTTTAAGGGGGGGATACAATTTGAACACAATTGATAATTGTGTAATTGTTGGTTAAAACATCTTTCAAAGGTTGCTTATGTCTTTAATGAGTGGTAAAAACATTTCAAAAACTCTTTTAAAGTTATGTTACTTTTTAGTTTAACAAAACTCCATTTTTAAAGTACAAGCATGACTTAGTAGTAAAATGAGCCTTTTCAATAATAGTTCAAGTAAAACATTAGTAAACTATAAGGGGCATAGTTTAGAGGTTCATTTCACACAATATACAATACACGATAACATAAGAGAACACACAATAAAGAGAAACATGGAGGAATATACAATACACGATAACATAAAGAACATACTAAGATACTATAACAAAACAACCATAATAAGGTACTATAACATGGGACAACTACACGATCTAATTATACCAATGGATGACTACGCATTGTTCTAAACAAAAGGTGATAGTTATATTGGGTATACATGATCACATAACCTTAGTGTGAAGTTACACAGCCTAGGAACTCGTTTGTTGAAGTCGCGTTTGGGTCCCAAAATCTTTTGACAGAGGGAGCGTATAGTATGTGATCTAGCCTTCACATTATGACCTTAATAAAACAAATATGTTTTAAGGTATTTAGTACGATCGGTATGTCAATTTATAAGGCAACAGAGTACTTATATTTTCCCATTACTTTCATAAAGTGACAGTTCCACTTGAAAGTTAATGCAAACT